AGCACAAGAATTTAAATCCATATCATTTATTGATTCTTGATTTTTTTTTTTTTTTTTTAACTAAAAAGCTACTTCTCAGCAAAAGAAACAGTGAGGTGAATAGAGAGCCTATATTTTGGGAGCAAACTTTTACCACACACATTAGAGCACTAATCTCTAGGATATATAAAGAACTCAAAAATCTTAACACCAAAAAAAAATCAGTAAACAGACCAAGGAACTGAACAGACACTTCTCAGAAGAGGATATACAATTCATTAACAAATATATTAAATGTTGAACATCTCTATCAATTAGAGAAATGCATACCAAAACTACTTAAGATTTCATCTCACCCCAGTCAGAATGGTAGCTACTATGAAGACAAACAACAATAAGTGTTGGCAAGGATGTGGGGAAAAAGGTACACTCATACACTGCTGGTGGGATTGCAAATTGGTGCAGCCAATATGGAAAGCGGTATGGAGAATTCTTGGAAAACTTAGAATGGAACCACCATTTGACCCAGCTATCCCTCTCCTAGGTCTATACCCAAAGGACTTAAAAACAGCACAATACAGGGACACAGCCCCATCAATGTTTATAGCAGCACAATTCACAATAGCTAAACTGTGGAACCAACTTATATGCCCTTCAGTAAATGAATGGATAAAGAAACTGTGGTATATATACATAATGGAATACTATTCAGCATTGAAAGAGAATAAAAGCATGGCATGGAATTGGAGAATATAATGCTAAATGAAATTAGCCAATCCCCAAAAATCAAATGTATAATGATTTCTCTGATAGAAGGATACTGATTTATAATGGGATTTGTGGGGGGATCATGGTAGGATTAGATGAACTCTAGATAGGACAAAGGGGAGGGAGATGAAGGGAGGGAGCACGGGAGTAGAAAAGATGGTGGAAATGAGATGGTAATGTCCATCTCGTTACCCTAAGTACATGTATGAAGACATGAATAGTGTGACTGTTTTGTGTACTAGCAGAGATCTGAAAAATCGTGCTCTATATGTACACAATGAATTGTAATGCATTCTGCTGTCATACCTAACAAATTAGAATAAAAATAAAATGGAAAAATAACTGAAAAAATATTATGTTGCCACTATGGCAGTTTCTCCTAGTTTTTTAAAAAATCCCTTTACTCTTTAAATTACTGAATATGTTCTGTAATGCTTGTCACATATTAATGTCAGCATCAAGAAATAAGGTGACAAGTGCATTGAAACAAAAATAACACTATCATTGGCTATTAATAGCCAGCCTGTATTGGTTAGTTGACGTTATTGTCTTAAATGATATTTAATCATTTTAAATTTTGTACATTTTATAACTCCCAAGCGCTCTAGAAATATGATAAGTAGCAAGTTCAGAATTACTTGCTCTTAAGAGACTTTGTCCACCCAGTGTCCCCCAGTTGGCTCTACCTACACATCCCATATTTTTCTACACTTGATTGTCAGTCTGCCCCATTAGACTATCAGGCTCTTCAGGGCAGGGACCAGTTCTAACATCTTCATTACTGTGTCCCTAGAATTAAAGGGAACATAGTAAATGCCTAATGAATAAAGGAATAAATGTGACTTAGAAGTTTAAAAAAATAAAGTATTTCAACTCTATATTGAAAAGACATGATGGAACTCTCAAAGTCTTTATAAAATAATCAGCTAGAAGACTGAATGAAAGAAAATACCCCCTGTCTGTAACAGAATCTGAAAGGATAAAACTGGCATGTAAAACTATTAAGAAGATATATATAGCATCTACAAGAAGAAAATTCCAAACACAGCGAAGGAGACGGAAGAAGACTGAACAAATGTAAAAATATATCATGTTCTCTGGCAGGATTTGAATAGGACTCCTGTTATCATGACAGAATATTCCATAATTTATAAATATAATGAGACCCAACAAAAATATTAGACCTTTTCCTTTATAAACAGATAAGCTAATTCTACTGTTAATTAGAAATAAGAACAAGAAATTCTTAAAAATGAGGGGAAAAAATGACTCGCCAGATGGCAATATAAAGTCCAAATAACACAAATTATATTTTTTGGGTCTTGAATAGACAGATAAATCAACATAATAGAAAAGTAAAATAAATAAATGTTGAAATAAAACAAATTGACTCAAATATAGAAACTTAACATAAACTTAACATTGTTAAGCAATATTAGAACAATGAGCTATTTAATATGAATTTCTGGCACAATGCATAGCTGTCTGGGTAAAAAAAAAAAACACTGGTTGCATACCTTACCTTTTATGCCAGGATAAAGATCAAATAGATGAAATATTACGTTATAAAAATGATGAAATCATTAGAAAGAACTAGAGAGTCTTTGTGGGTGTCTCTGAAGAGTGGGATGCCTTTTAAATCGCAACTCTAACTCCAGACTCATTAAGAACACACTGATAAATTCCATACACAAAATAATTCCACTGTTATAAAAAATCAGAGGGCAAACGATATTAAGATAGAAAATGCTTGTAATTCATAATTTGAATAACTAGTGTTTAACAGATAAAGAGATATATAGAAATCCACTTACAAATGACCAGGAGCCCAACAGAAAAATGGGAAGAATAGAAACAAGAAACTCACAGAAAAGGAAACTGAAATAAAATGAAAAATCACAAGAATATAAAGACAGAAATACCAATTGGTCTAAAAGTATACAAAAAGGGACCCATGTGTGTCATAGTAAAGGAAATCAAATTAAGAGATACTGATTCTTTACCAGAAGTTCTTCTGTTCCCTGTGGTAGCATAACACTCAGTAACCACTGGAAAATCAGAATCACTTGAAAATAACTGTGCAAACTCAAAGTATCTCATATATATCGACGGACACAGGAGAATTGAGGCATGTACATAGTTATTCCTTGATGCATAATCATTGCAAAAGATTGCTACTATGTCTATTGGTAGGGAACTGGTTGAATACATTATCTTTATACAATGTCATACTGAGCAGCTTTTTTTAAACAGTGAAGAAAATTGTCTACTTATAGACATAATAACTGCAATATGCATTGCTAAGTAAAGAAAATTGGTTATAATTTTGTTTTCAAACGCTGTGTGTTACAAGTACAGAACATTATGTTTAGTTTACAGAATGGGGAATCGGAACAATATTCTAATTTCTTTGTTTACCTACAGAGAGGGTTGAAGTCTACACAAGGAAAAAAAATGTGGTAAGTGGGAGTGGATGGAAACAGATTGAAAGAGGAGCAAGGATTTTCAATCCACACTTCTGTGCTTTTTCATTTATTTGCATCACATGAATGTGCTAGGTATTTAAAAATTAAATTAAAATTCTGGGAAAAACAAACAAAAGACCTTGGTCTACACTACCCAGCCCCTCTTGCCTTTTGCTGATTTGTGCAGCCTCCTTTTCCCCTGAAAAGTAGGGGGTGTTGTGGATGAGTGGTCCCCCAAAGTTTCATGAGCTGAAGACTTGGTCCCCTGTGTGATAGTGTTCTGGGGTGAAGCTCTGGGGAAGAGAGTGGACCATCGGGGCTCTCAACTAGTCAATGGATTAATCCATCTGATGATTCATAATTTAAGTGGAGACTGGAGGCTAGCTGAGGACGTGGGTCACTGGGGACGTGCAGGAAGGGTATGCCTTGTCCCTGCAATGCTAAGATAAAGACATAGCAATTATAAGAGATTCAAAGTAATAGATGAGAACAGCCCTTCTCCTTGAAACCTCCTTGCCTATGGCCTGGGTAACACGGTCATCTGCAGACTTGAGATGCTATGTGACGCAGTAACTTAACAATAGACCATCTCTTCCAGAAAGTCCTGTGGGCCTGTGCAGGGGGGACAGGTCACTGGGCACAGCTCTTCTTCACAAAATGAACGCTGCCTCTGGAAGGCCCTGCACACCCAGCCCCAGGCCCCCCGCAGAGGGGGGAAGTTCTGCGCTCTCCAGAGTGGCCCTGGCATGCTGGAGTGGTGGGAAGCCACCAGCTCTCCAGCAAGGTCACTACACTCTAAAGGGCAGGCTCACACCCGAGCACAGATACTGTGGCTTTCTGCAGGAGTGCGACTGTGTTTTGCTTTGCGTTTGGGGGGGTTTTGTGTTTTGTGTTTTTAGCCAAATGTGCAAGTTTTTCTTTCTTTCTTTTTTTTTTTTTTAATTGTACCTTTGGTCCTTTTCTCAGGAAACAGGAAATAGTTCATATCAGTGCAGCCAGGTCACAGGAGTGTGCGGCAAACTGGATTCCACAAGTCAGTTACTTTTCAGAGTAGGACTTCTTGGACTCAATGATTTGTTAATGTGCCTTGTGAATCCCAAAGGGAAATAAATACGGGATGCTATGTTTCCAAACTTACTGTAAAACCCTGTGTCAGGGACCACTTCTCTGGATTAGTATTCTGGGTCACACATTTTGGCAGATGATGCTAAAAGGTCATTCTCCATGACCTTGTTTTTGGCCATTATTACAAAAATACTTCTCTAGAACTAAAGCAAACAAAAACTTCAAATAAGTGAAAAAGTTTAAAACACTCTACACCTACGAGAAAATGGTAAACTACTAAGCATGTATTTGACATTAGAGTTTTCACAAAAATATATTTTATAGAATATGTTAATCCTATTTCTATTTTCATCTATTGGGATTTCCACTACCACATATAGTAAAATTATTATTTGTGAGCCTGGTCTTCCATCATTATAGAAGCTGAAGTGATTTCCAAATAATAAAGTAACTTTTGATTTTAATGTTTAGTTGTAGGATAGTCTAATGATTTACACCATCTAAGTATCAGTGCTTCTAAGGCATTCTGTTTACTAGATAATTACTAGTGCAAATATTATTCCCCATTCACTTTGAATAAATGTAAGTGAATTATGTCTGACTATAAGAATTTCAAAGTGGCTGTCTTGAGATGCTGTTGAAATACAGTCTCTAAGCTGGGAACTTTCAGGTGTGATTGTACTGGACTGAGTCACGGCAGACACTACTGGGCTATCCCTTTACCTTTACGAATCGTTGGTGTGTCGCTGTCTGCAATCAGTTGCAAGCAGTCTTGAGTAACTGAAAAGCAAAAGTTCATCATTTTAATTACTTGAGTAGGAATGACAAGGGAGCTAAGATGACTAAAAATACAAAGCGACAGACTCGGTCTCCCGGGGAGGCTAAACCAAACACACCTCTTACATGACTTGTGTGATCTTAGTCTTAAGTCACTTTATGAAATTGACCCATTTACTTTAATATCTGTGCTGGAAATTCGTGACACTTTTGCAACGCTTCATACTGTGGAGGCACAGCAAGCGTGGCATTGTGGAGTGGAATCAAAGTTGCTTTGAAATATCAGCTACATAGAAAACATACTTGGTTATTTTGTTTTTCAAGTTAGCCAAATAAAACAGCTAAACTTATCAGATCAGTTTGAAACATCATTTGTTGAAACAAAACCAACATTAAATAATAACTCACTGCTACTGGAAATACACTAAGGCTTAGCCTACTCTACATCCTTGTATCCTCCCAAGAACCCTAAAAACTAGGTATCTTAAACTAAGGTTTAGAAAGTGTCTTGTTCAGGACCTCAGAGATAGAAAGTGACCAGACAAGAATTTAAGTCCTGTTTGTTTAACTTGGGAGCCAAAGTCAAGTATTTTTGGCAAAATCCTTTGGACAGAAGAGAGAAAGAGGGAACATTGTTTAAAAATAAAATGTAACGACTTTGTGACACTGAGTTGTCAGTGAGGCTTCTGGGAAATGTCGATTCACATCCCAAATCACAGGTGGACTATTTCAGATGACATTCAGAGCAGTAAATAACGACTGCCTTAAATGAAGAGAAAGGCCTTGGGTAAAGCCAAGGAAGAACAGGTTCTGTGGGTTGTATTGTGAGATAAAAGAAAAGCAGTAAGTACGCATGAAAAACCTGGACCCTAACCCTAAGCTTGCAGGTTTTAATTGAAGAAAATACTCTTCAGCAAAACCTTCATATTTTATAAACACATGCTTCTCCGTGTGCTTTCTACCAAGTGGATGTGATGGGGATGCCTTCCTTGGTATCAAGCTGAAAATTTCTGACATTTAAAACTCTGCATAATGGGGTTATACTTGTGTACTACTCTGAGGCTGTTAAAGGAAACTCTTAAGGGTTGATAACATTAAAAACTCTGTTTAGGAATTTCCCCCCTTATTTAAAGGTGGAAATAGAACATCCAAAATTACAACTTCCTTATACAGACGTGGAACTTCTCTGACTTATTTATATGCTAATCTAATCATTTTGATTGCAGCAGAGAATTTTGATCTCCTCTGTGGATTCTTTTACTGATTGTGTGGAACAAAGGTCGCCACACCTGAGCCATAGGGACAGTATCGTTCCTGTGGCTGACACTCCCCTATGACAGTCTTTAGAGGCATCACAATGGGCAGCAGAGTTGCCCTAAGGAAGGCTTTAATTCTCCAACTATAGTAGCTGGCTGAGAGGAAAGATTGACCTGCTCTGGGTTTCTGTGTTCTCCTCTAAAATGAAGACAGCAGTATTCAGCAAGTCGGCTCTGAGGGGTAAGAGGCAAACACACCTGGGAGCCTGGCACACGGGCAGCAGGTGGAACTGCTATACAACTTGGGTTCCTCCCTCCCTCCCTCCCTCCTTCTCCACATGCTCTGGAGGGCCTGCACCGGACATTTGCTCAAACAGTGGGAATCTGTCTCGAGGAAATGCTGTCTCTAACTCTTCAGAACTGCAATGTCCCCCAAAACTCATGACAAAAATGCAGCTGCCCCAAAGCAGTTTAAGTAGGAGCTGAATTACATCAGCAATATTTAAATATTAAAGCTAATATTGTCCCTCTGTGTAAAATTACTAAGAACCATTTATCTTTCAACACTATGAATTCATATTTTATTTTGCAGACATGAACAGGTATTTAAAAAGAAGTTGAAAGTACAAAGAAGCATCGAACTTTATAACACTGTCTTAATGTTTTCACTTTTTCAATGTATTTGCCATTTTCTAGTGTTACAATTTACTCAACAATTATATATATGGCTTATTTTTCTCTATCTCCACCTCACTGCAATATAAGAATCTGTGAGAGACTCAAGGTCACATTTGGCTGCACTGATGGGCTTGTTTCCTGGATCTTCCCTTTCCCCAAACTTTAGGCTTAACAAGAACAGGGTTCAAAGGTTTAGTTATCAGGTCGCTCTTTTAAACACTACTTTGGAAATTGAACAGAAGCCAACTCTTGCAACACTGAAGAGAAAAAAAAAAGTCTCACTATTGAAGAGGGGAAAAGAAAAATTACACTTAGGAAAGACTGCGGTCAAACATTGCCTGAGAGCAGCCAGCGGTTCTAGGAAGAGCGCGTCCTTGCTGGGTAAGAGGCTCCAACTGGACTAATTTTGCCAAGTTAGCAATGGACTTCTGCATTTCATACTTTAAACCCTCAGACCTGCCTCACAAGTCACAATTCAGCCAGAAATACCAGTAAAACAAGAAATACCGCAGACCTGCCAGGTAGCTCACCTTCCCTTGTGAATGAGTGGGACTAGGAGTTCAAGAAAGGAGACTCAAAAATAGCACTGATATCTTCACTTTTCACAATTAAAAAAGCTGATCTGAGAGAAATGCTTATGTTACAATATTAGGTGTTCATTATGTGCACTATACTTGAAATTCTCACCTTAAAAAATGTTAACTGTAAAGTAGTATCCTTGATTCACCCTGAAACATTAAAAAAAGAAATCCATCCGTGATGAATCCCAAAATCCAAAAAAAGAAGGCCTTGAGTTTGGTTAGCAGTGGAGTCCCATGTTGGTTCCTTCCTTGTGCCATGGGGCCACGCTCATGGAAGCTGTAATGCTAGGGGAAGATGGATGCAGGTACGCCCACTCTGTAATGTTCATGCAACATTTCTGTAACTTGAAAATAACTGATCTAAGGTAAATATGGAGAAAAATAAATTTGGCTATCTTCCAAATAATTTTTGTAAAATTTTGAAATAGGGGCAATCTTTTCACTTCTATTTCTTTGTATTATTCTTGTTATCTCAATTGTAACAGTAAAACGTTGATGAAAACTATAAAAATGATAGACAAAATTATTTTTGTTTTATTTTATCTAAAATGCACATATTTTCAATAGTTCTTAAATTTTCTATTGAATAATGAGGGAGGAAATGCAAACGTTACTTGCGACATTACTGAGCAATAACTGTTATTGTTCAGTAGCAACTTATTTGAAAGAATTCAGTTTCTTGATGAAGTCTGAAGATGCTTATCCTTAGGATCCTAAAATGAAAATTGCCCTTAGGTGAGTTTTTAAAAACCAGATTATCAAAACTCCATTTGTACAGAAATTGTATTATATAACATTTCTGAAGCCAATTGCTTTAATTTTTTTTTTTTGAATTGGGAATATCTCCAAATACATTTATGGGCTTAACAGTGATTGGCTAAGATGAGCTACTTGGACTTTTTTTTTTAATCCTGGATTTCCCCGCATTTCTGTTTGTTATACTATAATCAGAATGATCTTTTGAAGCACATTAAGCTTAATAAAACTTTAATATGGAACACACAATAATTAAGAAACAAAATTCAAGCCAAAATGCTAAGCTTTCCAATTAAGTAAAAGCAGCAACTGTCCTTGGGAGGACCGGGAGGATGGGCCTGGGCTAACCATCACATCCACACCTACTGTTTCATAAACTTCAATAGAAATGTCAGTGGTTCTGAAAAAACATGGGGACAGTTGATAAACCAGGATAAGTGAACCCTCTGAAAGCCAAAAGGACAGCCCACACTTAGTCCTAAAGAAACCAGAACAACTGGAGTGGAGACAAAATCAAAAAGAAGCACAGATTTAAGCTGCATGCATCTTTTCAATTCCAAACCAAGACCTTTCTGAACAAACAACAGAAAGCCCTTGTATTGCAGCCATTTCTCTTGGGCACAGAGACATTGATTCTGAACTGGTACTTCCTCTGAAAAAGCTTACTATGTGGAACAATGCAGCTGAAGTGCTCTGACAAGTGACAGCAGCTTTCACCTGTCCCTGAGAGTCTTGCCCTCAAACCCTCCACCTTGGTTCTATGAATGTTACAAAAAGTCTAACGTAAATCATGGTAATAGTGATGGTGAATGCATTTGGGCTGCAGAAATGGGGGTCATTTTTTGGTTCACTTTGTTAGAGTCTTCTCTTATTCTCCAAACTTGCTACAAATTGCAAGTTATTCGGGGGTGGGGGAGCCCAAAACAAAAATCCAATACCACAACACTTTTCAACCTACAATTTGGGGATGACAAAAAACCAGAAATATGTAAAAATATGCAAATAGAAGGAAATCTTAAAATCTAATATGATATATCTTGGCAAAGTGTGACTCAGGAAGCTATTTTTAAATCTATTATTCTTAAATATGTAGAAATGAGTATGTCCTCTTTAGAATGATAAATTTAGAAGCAGTGGAATGGTAGCAGAGAAGATTAAAATGATTGAAGAATCCTGACCTTACTAGATATTGAAGCCCATTATAATACAAAATTACTCAACATGGTTTATTTATAGCAGATAAATAGAATAATCAATGATAAAAAAAGACTCAAAGTTTCAATTATATGAGGAACTGAACACAATCCAGTAACTTTCCCAACACAAAGGAGTTAAATATAAACATCTACTACATTGGGATAAGGTAGTAGTCTGGAAGAGAAAAGGGGAGAGAGGAGGAAGTAAATGCCAGCATGAGATGATTCACCAAAAGAAATGCCAGAAGGATTAATGTGTTAAAGCCAAAAAACCAAAACAAAACACTAAACTATGAACAAGTCCAAAGTAGCAGGAAATAGAGCAAAACAAGAGATTATGAACACATACACATTTAGCTTACTTAGATTTTAGAGAAAATCAAAAGAACAGATGACCTCATTAACACAGATGCAATATCTCATACGTATGTTAAAAGAGCAGCAAAATTATGTGAAAATATTTACATCACAGTTTTGATCAATAATGTCTCATTAGAAAGAGTTTATATTAAATCATAAAATATTAGGGTGGTTGGAAATTAGAATTAAAAATTAGCAAAAGATCTAGTTAGAAGTAATCAAAATATACAGAATGATATTCATTATTATTATAAATAAGCAACACATTAAAGTAAATTTGAGATTCTATGTTACAATTACTAAATTAGCCAAAATAAATATTTAAAGACAAAATGCTAGCAATAACGTGGAAAACTGGTACAGTACATTTTTGTATGCATACACTTATAACTCATTTTGGAAATGCTATGACAATAAGTAGCATGCCCAGTCTGTTGAGCTCAGAAATTCACATTGCAAAATTCATATTGAATATATAATTCCTCAGAAATGAAAGATATGCACAAAATTTTACATGTTCTATTATAGCAAAAGAAAATGGTCATATTAAAATTATACAACTTAATACAGATGTGAGAATGACTAGAAATAGCTTAAATGCTTGTGAAGGTGAAAAAATCTATCATAGCATTACATGCTCTTATTTTATGTAGAAAGTATAGATGATAAATACAAAATACAAAAATAAGATGTTAAAACAATGAGTTTCCTGGTTTAAAAAAAATGTTTAAAGCCAATTGTTAAATAGCCCAAAGATATGCTAAGCAGATACAAAAAAGGATTATCTGAGATGAGGAAGAATTTTCAGTAAACATGGCACATGGTTAAAAACTGTTTCCCGTCAGCACTCGGCATGTGCGCAGGACACCTGTTCCCCTCTCCGGGGTCACAGGCTTCTCTTCTGAAGTAAAGTGCACACACAGGGGGACAGTGCTCTGTGACCCCCAGACAGCTGCTCTGAAGGTGACGTGAAATCGGGTGAAAAGCCTATCCAGGGCCACACCTGCCTGGCACCTTCCAGGTGTTCAAATATGTTCCCTCGACACAGCAGGGAAGCAATGCACAGATCCGTGAAACCGTCATGCGGATCAACCCAATGCCAACACTTCCTACCATCTTGGAAATGAAGAAACTGGAATAGACCACCTTGACGGTCTACTTCAACTCTGTAAAAAGCTCAAGGGTACCAGAGGACCTTAGCGTGGCAGAAGTGAGGAAAGAGACGTGATCACACACGCTTGGCTCTGCTGGGGAAGTCTCGGTGGAGGAGAATCTTTAAATCCGCGTGTGCGTGTGCGTGTGTGTGCGGGTACAAAATCGTCCTTAAAGGAAACAGGAAAAAGCACTCACATCCCGGGGTGCCCAGTGAGCCCCTCCCTGGGGCTCCTGCATGCAACACCAGGGACTCTGGGAGATGCAGGTAGCGGGTCTACCTCTGCGGTAACGAGGTGCTCTGTCGCTGTGCTTCCGCAGGGATGGAGGGCACCACGCACTGGAGGAGAAACCTGCCTCCCCTTGGCCTCACGCGTGCTCGCCACGCAGTGCAGAGAAGTAGCGCCCAGGAAGGATGCTTCTACCCGCACAGCCCCCTGCGAGGACCCGCAGGCTGTGCCGCTGAGGCAGCCCCGGGCGCTGGCGCTCTGCCCCCAGCCCTCTGGCTTAGATGGCAAAGTTCTAGTCTGTACTTTGGGGGTTTAGAGAGGCTATGCGCACCTGTAGCTCTGCAGGTGGGACGCTTTCTCCGCACCTGTGTGCACGCAGCCCCGCCCACCACCTACCTGTTTCCTGGGACCCCTCAAGCGCGCGCCGGTTCCTGCTGCCGGGGCTAGAGTGGCTTTCCCCCAGAGCGGCTGCGGCAAAGATGCCCTGTGAACAGAGAAGGGAGGTTATTGGCCGGGCGGCTGTGCGGGGCTGGGGGCGGCGGGGCTGGGGGCTGCGGTGCGGGCGCCGGACTCACTTTCAGTCCCACTGGGGCCGCGGGAGCCGCGGCTCGGGCCTGGGTCGGGGTGGGCATTGGTGCGCGGTGGCCCTGCAGTTCTGCGCGGAGGCTTTCCAGGTCCGCTTGCAGGGTGGCCACGCGGTAGAAAGAGATAAGCGTGAGGCCACTGGAAAGTAGGGCCAGCAGCAAGGTCACGGCCAGCAGCTTTGCATCTCTGGAGAATCGGACCGAGGGGCTTTCCTTCTGTGGGAGGATGGGAACACACTCTAGTTTCATTTCTCCCCCTTTCTTGAGGCAAGAAGAAAGGCGTGCCTGCTCCCACTCCGTGGAGTCATCCATTCCCCGACTTGCACTTTGAAGGCTGGGGCCTTTACAATGAGTGACCACAGAGGACGGATCATTTCCTGTTATCTGTGCGCCTCGAGGTCCCGCATTGACTGTGAGGCAGCCCCGGGCTCTCCCCCTCCGGAGCGCTCTCCTGCTTTTCTTCTTTCTCCCCTTGTGCATCTTTGCCCCTCCTGGGCCTTGGCTTTACTGGCGTTTGCCCTTCTGTGGATTGCTCAATCTGTCTTCCTCATTTCACTTTCAGTTTTTGTAAGAATTTTAATGCCAATTCAAAGGACTCATGCTCAAGGAGATGCGAGGCCCCTCACGCCCGCTGAGGAGACGGTTTAAGCTGGTGCTCTGGAAGAGAAGGCTTAAGACAAATTTAAGGAGATTCACCCCCAAGCTTTAGGGGAGAATGGGGTCTACTTGGAAGCACATGGCTTCTAGGGAAAGGGAAAGGGAACATTGAAAGCTCCCGCTGGTGTTATGACAACAATTGGAAGGTCGGATAAGCCAAGTGCTTTAGCACTGAGTTGTGTTTAGCTAGAGGGTGATTTATGAACAGTCCCCAAGGAGGAGACAAATGGCAAATCCTTAAAGGAGGCTTGGAAGTCCACTGGGGATTGTTCTTGTTATCTTAACAATGCAATAAGAAGAATGTGATGCAGCTTCTAAATAATTGAGTAGATAAGGGGACTTCTTTAAACATTGGGGATACATTTTCAGGGAAAGATGCATCATCTGTTTCCTTGCCAGGCGGGCTGCTAGTGAGCCAACTGCACCTCCCCCTTGCCACTGGGACTTCTGAAGCCTCAGTCCCTGCTCACTGTGAGGTTCCCTGGAGGAGTCTTGGCCTTATCTCCAGCTCCAAACTCCTCATTCCCACTTGACCCTGTCTGTCCAAAAGCTACCGACATACAAGGTCCTGAATCAACCCAATCACTTCATCTGGAAGTGAGGGTGGTGCACTGCAGGGAATGTTCACTCATCTGGATCCTGCCCTGTCTTGATGGCTGATTCCTGCACCAGCACCAGTTCCTGACTGCTTTGCCCCAGCATCCAAATGTTGATTCATCTTGCAACAAAGTTAGGGAGGACTTAGCAAGCCTGGGTGGGCACTACTCCATGTGCTGGGGGTACTGGGCAGTAGCTTTGTCTCACAGCCCCCTCTCCTTACAGCCTTAATAAGGTTACAGAAGTGATACAGCATAAAGGCAAGTACCTCAAGCTTCCAGGATTCTAATCTTGCTTCCACCTTTTGCCCTCCTTAAGCAATTCATTGAAGGTCTGTGAAATTTAATTTCCTCCTCTGTGAAATGGGGTGATAACAGGAACTGTGCCTGAGGTGCAGAACAAGGCTTACAGGAAGGTGCTAACAAACTACATTTTAAAAACTACTGTTTTTTTCCATTCACTATCCTTTGTTTATATTCAAAGGATGAATCAAATATTCTATTATTGTGGTGCAAGAAGTACTTTTGTTCAATTGCCCCTGTAACATCTGTAGGAATGTATCCAGCAAGCACTTCACTTTCACCAGGTGACACCAAGTACCCTCTGATAAGTTCCCATTTCCTATTGTCTTTCCAATGAGTTGAGGTCATCAAGCTATCCCTTTTTTCCTCTGCTTTTTTAAAAATGACTTGTCTATGAAACCCACAGTGACAAGTCTATAAAACCCACTCAACAGGCAGACACAAAGTGGCCTGAATCAAGCCAGAGTCACTTGGTCAGGGTGTGGTGGACTTGGCGTGCTGCAGGGCATGCCTCAGCCCTTCCAGTCCTATCTGATCTTGACCGCTCATCCTAGACCAGCACCAACTTCCCTTCCCCCAAGCAAGCTGCTCTCTGCCTCTGCTTTCTCAGGTGGGAGTCTTGTTCTATAGGTTCACATGCAGGGTCTGTGGTGTCAAACATCACACTACACAGTTCTTCTGACAGGGTCCTTGCTGCAGGTGGATCAGGGTGAGGCATCCTGGACAAACTTGCAATGACAAATGGGGTTAGTTGGGGAGGTCCAAAGCCCTCCAGGCTGGCAGTGAACAGACAGAACTCATTCAGTGTGTGGTAATATTCCCTAAATACACACAGAAATCCGTGTTCCAGTTGATCCTTACTTTCATGAGGACACCCTGGAGACCTCATTCCCCTGGGATTTAATGTTACTTCTGATGAGCCTCCTCTCCGTGTGCTTGGGTCGAAGCTGTTAAGCGGAATGACCCAGCTGCTTTAGAGAATGGCCTCTGCCTTCGCTGCTCTACAGGGCAGTGACCTTCATGCTGACCTCTGCAAGACAGAGTCCCTGGTCAGCCTATGTTCAGGTCATTCTGAAACAAGCATCTGCTGGTTGTTTGATGCCGAGGGTGACACTGTGCACAGAGGGGCTACTACTCCTTCCAGGGAAGGGGGCCAGCAGCCCCTATGACCCAGATGGGCAAGCAGGCATTGCTGTCTGCATGCCCTTCTTAGGGTTCACACAACTAGATTTTCTCCAAAGACAGTTAGAAATCTAAATGGCATCTATGGCTCTATGACTTCTTATGAACAAAAGGAAGTTATTTCTCCATAAATCAAAGACCTGTTTCCTGTAGAGGAAATGGTTTGATAATTTAACCGAAATTCTGTTAAACAAAGAGCACATTTGTATTCATTGAACAACACAGCACAGTCTATCCAGGGAGGAAAGCCACCGTACCCGAGCCATGGAACTTGGTCGAGTGTCCACTGTCAGCATCCAGACACTTTCCCTATGTAATGTGGGTGATATATTCCATGTAACAAACACCATGATTGAGATACCGTGGCCTGGGATTGTCCAAATTGTCCCCTGCACTCAGGATGGGCAGGTAGGGTTGAAAAAAATGAGTTATCAGTTTAACCAAGGGGCAGAACCACAGGACAAAATACACATTCAGTCTTTGATAACTTGCTATTTTTACATTGGCTGCTTCAAAAATATTCAAAAAGCTGAATTATAAGTTTCTGGTTAAGAAAACTATTTAGAATTATAAAGTTCACCAGATGTCATCTTTTCCGCTTTCTTTGAGGAGAAGGCATCTCATGAGGACCAGCATGGTGGTCACAGCAAGCGTGGTGACCACAGCTCTTCCAGATGTGAGGATGGCCTGAAAATACAGCTCAGCTGCTGGCTGAAAGGGCTCAGGCACAGAAAATGATCCCATACAAATGACTGTATAATTCAGAACAAAAAATCATTTTTTTGCAGTCAGTGACTCTTATAGTTTTAGCCAAAGTTGACTTTAACCATGAAGTGGTGGTGTGTGGGTTATTTATGGAGGTGACTCCAGACATTTCTTTTACAAAAGGGTGATGTGGCTGGGATGCTCATACCCATTTCCTGAGAGTTTTTCTATAAAAAGGAGCATGCATACACTAATTAGGGCTGAATTTTTGTCACTTCTGGGAAAATAATCTAATTTTCTAAGAACTTGAACCCAAGAGTTGGATCTTTCGGGTCTCTGGGTTAAGCCCACCTTCTCTTTGTTGTGCAATTGCTTTTAGATTTAATGCCCATGAATCAGTGTGTTATAAAGAAATTTGTTTATTTCAACACTATTTTCAATTAGAGTATAATTTAATCTGTCATTCTTGACCATAAAGACAAGAGTGTTTTTGCTGATAATGAATGTTAGTTGATGTGAGAACATTGAGGAATGAATTTTTCTTTTTTCCACACATAGACACACTGCATATTGACACACATAGGCAAGTACACATATGATCATTTCAAAAACTTTGGGAGAAACGATAAATCAGTTCTACCCATGCAGGAAAGATCATTTATGAAACTTATGTGATGTCCTCTGCTTTTAAAAATTAATAAAATAGATATTTTATTTGAAATTTTGCTTATTAAATGTTAGACATGAAAGGAGGGATGAGGAGTCACGGACTCTGAGGGCAGAAATGGCCACATTTCCAGTGATGTTTTATCATCTTATCAGACGTGTCCTGAGCCCAAATCCAGAGACTGACTTTGTTCAGATGGGCATCTTTGCAAGATGCCGACACGATCCTACAAAGGGGAATCCTCATCCACTCTATCCACATCACCACCGATTGCCAAGCCCGAAGGATGAGCTTATTTGTTGCTATACCCCTCATGTTTTATGAAGAAGCACGAGAGAAAGATACTCAGTCCACTGGACATGCACGTCTGCATGTCACTTCCTAGCCCTGCAGAGGCCATTCTGTAGCTGCTGTGATGACCAGGCTGAGGCCAGGAGGGCAGGATCCTGGAAGCATCTCCTCTGCTGCTGAATCCATCTACTTTTTGTGTCCCACATAGGGTCCCATTTTTTCCTTGTTGCTTCAGCCAACATGACGCAAGATTAGACAGTAATGCATCCAAAGATATCCCAACTAATTCTGCTAGTTCAAGAATTGTATTTCTAATACCAAAGAACTTTGCATAACATAATTTTGTATGTTCTTTCAGAATTTTTCCAGATGTCCACGTTTTTAAAAGTGCAATATGGAGATAAAGGTCAGGATCCATAGCTAGAAAAAACTATTTTTTTTAAGAAAAGTCTTATTTCCAGTTCTACCATAAAGTTATTGAATTACTTCACAATGTTAGGAAACATAAGAAAACAATGTCTTTTAAACTGCTATTATGTGAAGAGCTCTTTGATCAATCTGTCTTTTCTGCGTAGAACCAGAATGTACCTACTTGCCCCTCTCAGGAGGGAGGATACCAAACCAGAACTGTGGGGCTCCATGGAAGAACAAGACAGTCTCAAACTAAAGAGAAACCAGGGAGGACCCGCAGTTTGAAGAAACGCAACAGGAATGTGCAGGAGAATGCTTTGGTCTTCTCCTCCAGTGTCAAGTTGGCTCTTCTGAGCTGAGGGCAGCTGGATGTCAGGGAGGCCTTTGGCTGTCATTGGTTCTAGGTGGAGAAAAATGATGAGTTTTTTCCTCCACTATAAAAATTTACAAGACTTATTTCTGAGATCAGAGTCTTTGCTGCTCATTCTATCAAAAATCCGCAATCTCAGTGGTTATACAGACACGTATATACATACAGTAATACTAGTGTTTATTTTATTCTGCTGCCCTTCCTGTCCCCCCTTCCCCACCCCTCCCCTCACTTCTCTCTACCCAATCTAATGTGACACATTTCTTTTTTTTTTTCCCTCACATCATCATACATGTATTTTGTATAATGATGAGGGTCTCTTTCCATCTTCCATGCAATTCCCCTTCTCCCTCCCATTCCCTCCCACCTCTCTCCACCTGTTCA